TGCTTTGAAGACGAGAGACAAGGGGTGGGTTGAGATAAGTTTTAGGGGGCAATTTTTGGTTTCCTTTGTTTTACAGTAAGGCTAATATTTTAGAAGTTTCAAAGCAGTATTGTATTCCTCCTTGCAACTTTTCCCTCTATGGTGTTTACTTTCTTTGTGAGTTGCTCCAATTCTTCTTTCTGTCTTTGAGCCTCAGCTTTCAAAGCTTGGATAGCTTCGTTATTTTCCTCAATGCTATCCAGGCGAAGCTGCACTTGGCAAACGGTACGCTTTTTCTTCTCTCTTTCATACAATCCAATTGGGAATCGACTGTTTCTCTTGACTAAGGGAGGATCTTCTTTGGAAAGCTCACTACAAAAAAACACCTTTGATTTAACTTTTTAGTGCCACGTTTTGGCGCCCTTCATTTAGCAGATTTGGGTAGAATATACATTAAACTTAAAGTGTATATGACAGAAACTTTTTTATTTGCTTGATAGAATCTACACAGTGTTTTGATAAGGAAAGCAAAAAAATTTTTCGATAGTGATTTTTCTTCCCCGTGTTTTAACCTGGCAAAAACGTGAAATTTCACTTCTGGTGAGCTACAAAACCGCGCCCAGAAGACTGGGAATAATTGTGACGTCATTTCAGGATATTCTACTTCGCAGCAGGCAAATTACCTGGTTATTTTCTTATTTGTGTGGCAGTGTGTGGAGAATGGTTTTTGAGTTTCCCTGACCTTTTTTGATCAGAAACAGCAGAAATCAATAAAAAGTCGCTTAAGCTCCAATTTAATTGACTGTGAAAAAGAATAATGAGTTTTGAGAGCGATATGGAACAATCAGACGTGGAATCGATCAGGTCGCGCACTCAGATCTGCGAGACAGAGCTAGGATCAGATGAAGATGAAGAAGATGTGTACTATTCAGATCCAGAAGGACCGTATATAGATGAACCTATTGTAGACGAGGAATGGCTAACAGAATACAACTGAGAACTAGAAGAAATTGAAAGGAGAAACCAGGAGTTACAAAACCGCTTTGACAGGATTGTCGAACCCAAGACATGGTAAGTGTTCGCTCTATTTCTCACCTTTTAATTATTAGCCTGAAAAATCTTATCGTACTAAGATCATACCTTGCCAATAAAAGGAAAGGATAAAAGTTGTATTCTTCAACTTAAACACTACGTTCCTTCTTTTTAATTTCAAAGGTGCTCATGTGGCAATTGAGCTCTTGATCGGCTGCAAAATTCCGGGGAATGCCTCTGCTGTAAGGAAATCGAAAAGTGCATCGAATCACTTGGTAGTACCGGCGTTCTGAATGAGGTGGAAATCAGTCCCAAATGTATTACATTGCATCCAGATTTCAGTGTTGTTTGCCTTAACAGATGGTCTCTCCGATCAGCCGCAAGTAAATACAAAAGGATAGATGGTACAAAGTATTGTCAGACTGATACAGAGGAAAACTGAGTAATGTTTTGCCCAGTTTTTTCTGTCATAGCTATCTCTAATAATTAGAGACTGTGTTCCCCAAAAGCGACGTTAGCCGGCAAAAGCGCCCGACAGTTGCAACAGAAGCAGTGGTTATTTGTTCAAACACCATTTTAAGAGAAAGATAATCAATCGTTTTTGTCGCCCATTATTTTGTATAATAGAGAGATTTTACGTGACCCATGAAACAGACAATAAACCCCTACAATTTAGAAGACAATAGAAATAATGCATGATAGCATGTAGCCTTCTACTACCTGTTTAATCGGTTGAGTAGAATCACTATATTGCAAAAAACATATGATAAAGAAGAAAGCAAAATGTACTTTGTAGAGCCCCTAAAATCAAACTTTTCTGTAGGCTTGGGTGTGTGTGTGGGGGGGGGGGGGAAGGGGGTTGCTAGCCACACCAAACCCCACACAAAGCATTTTGATGTCATCTTTTGCCTACTACTTTCATCTTTTCTTACTCTGCTCTACTCTTCAACCCTGGTCCTATTTTCAACTATATTCGACAATTGATTTGATAATGTTCAGTTCATAAGATGTTAAAAGAAATGGGGATTTTAGAGACACAAAGAAATGGCACGATTGGAATAGAAATGCATCTGCCACTGGTCATGTGGTAATACTGGGCTCGCAGAGTTGAAATACAGGGCGAGGTCATCACTTGAATATTTATTTTTATGTCTTCATTCTTTTACACAAGTTTCTTCGTGGAGTAGCCTACAGAGAGTTTACCCAACTAGTACATGGTTTTCTAGGGGGAAAGCGGATTCCACTGCCAGCATGTGCCTACCATGCAATAAGAACAGAACTCTCAGAAGAGAATGAAGAATTTGTTGGTTTTGAAGATAATGAATAAAGATATTGCCTTTATGACCATTATTTTAAAATGCAAATAGCAAAGCAGAGTCCACTGACAAATTTTATACTAGTTTGGACTAATATTGACTCAAAACATCAGCTGATTCCACAGAAACTATCTGTATCTTAATTATCTACAGTATAACTTGAAATAATGGTGATGCAAATCTCTCCCAGTTTGTATTAAGCAATTACCAGGCAACTTATTGACTTTGCCTCAAAATAAAAGTAAAAAGGTCCACTATCACTGTCCGCGGTTTTGTTGTGCCTGGTTCCTTGGACAATCAACTAGAAGGTTGTGCCCTCTCATGGGTCTTTTGCAAACTGTGCAATTCCTTGTTCTTCCTCCACTTGATGACTGTGCTGTAGCTGCAGCTGCCTCTTGGGCAAGAACAACAGATACTGCAAGCAAAATAGGAAAAATATATTTAGTCCACCTTCATTACTGATAAAATGATAATAATATGCAACAATAATAATAATAGCGGGACTCCCGCCCGCGCGAAGCGCGCGTGGGACAGAGCCCCATACTCATGGAATATGGTCAACCTCTTTTCGCTTGGTTGTCACGTGACTGACCGAGCGTACGTACCTACGTACGTACGCGTCTACAGATTGTACGGGTAGGGTAGGGGAGGCTATCAAAAGGAAGGGAGGGGTGTCTCAGGCGTGTCTTGGCAAGTCCTCATCTTTTATATATGACACTCACAATATGGTCAATTGACAGCTGTCAAAACAGAATAGCCACTGACCAGTATCTCATGACCATATCGCAGGCTCATGTGTTAACTCATTGAGGTGACGTGATTTATTTGGAAGCCGTCCGCTGACCAGTTAATCGTTTTACTTGATCGCGAACAATGTTCAATCTCATACTTTTTAGCTAGTTTGGGATCGGAGCAAAGGAAAACTGATACACATATTGGACATCAATGTTGTGATCAATTGACAGCTGTCAAAACAAGGTATCCGCTGACCAGTATCACTTGAGCGAATCGCGGGCTCAGGTGTCGACATATCGAGGTCAAGTATTTTTTGAAGTTATTCGCTGACAAGGTACTGGTTTTCAAATGATCGCAGGCTCAAGTTTAATTTTTTTAATTCATATGAAATACGTTGTGTTTATGTACCGCACAATTAAAATTTTGATTTCAAACTGACCTCGGATGCGAAAATTCAGTCAGCTGCTACAGGCAGGGAAGACAGTTGCGTTTGACTTTTCTCACCATGTTCACGCGTTGGTCACGTTCTACGTCCAATTTTTATGCTCTGATTGGTCAGAATTTGACAGGTGAGTTCATGCGGAAAATTTAGGCAGCATCTTGAATCTTGTTTACTTTGACAGCTGAAGCTGACAGAGTTTTGTGTCAACTTTTGATGTTTTTAACTGTCTTTAACCACTGGATGTACAAAATGAAATGCAGCTGCTATCGGAAGTCTTCTGTTATTCATGGCTAGTTTGTTTATTGGGTTTTTGATTGAGAAATACGTCACTTGTCAAAGTTGGATTTCCGATTTCGAATGGCATCGTTTTTGTTTTCACCTTGCTTAATGTGTAAGAGGGTTTCAAAGTCTGAAGCGATACTGGCCTTACTTGATACCTGCATCTCGAGTGGTAAGCCTGAGTAATTATTGTATTTGATGTTTGTTTTTTATTTCTAATTTAATGATGTCGAGCGTAGTTTATGCGGCTATTTTGTTTACGCACGTTTGTAAGATTTGAGACAATGATCTGATCGAGTAAATCGGCACAGCGATGAAAATTACAAGAGAGACTACTAATAATCAATAAAAGAAATAAAATTCGGTGAAACATATATAGAGACGACAATTTTCATTCAGGAACAATTCATCAAACCATTTGCTGTTTTCAAAGTGGGTTTTTTCAATAAACAGTGGCATGTTTTCTCCAAAGTACACTACAAACATAATTCCTTCAAGGGGTATAATGGAACAGTACAGCTGACCTTGAACTTGACAAAAGTAGTTGTTGTTCCTTTTAAGTTGTACAGACCCATTAGCCAGTTTCTCGAAAAAAAACCTCTTTGCTTTGCAAGCTTCATCAACAGTCATGCCAGCCTCGCTGAAAGGAGATTTTATTTCCATCCCCCATTTTTTACCGGTGTCAGTCATAGTTACTACTCTGTCTAAGCTCGCTCCAAGGTATGGTTTGTCTCTAGACAGTGACAATCCAGGTTCCTCCACACTTACTGCAATACCATCCTTCCTCATTTCCGTTATGAATAAATCGACAGCTTTCTGTTCGCTTTCAATTCCATACTGCACAGCTTCAGTTGTAAAGTTACTGTAGAGTATTGCCTTCAATTTATTTGAAGGCTCCACTTTTGTTTTGGCAGCATTTCCAAAATTTGAGGCTGTCAGTACAGTTTTCCTTTTTTCAAACCATAGGTTGTTCTTGGCTTGCCCCCTGGTCAACCTTTCAGTTTCCTGTATCTCCTCTACAGTAATAGTTAAACTGGAAACATGCTCATCGATCATACTTTTAAAACGATTAGTAGCTATGTCATAGCTGTCGGTGAAGGCAACACTTTCCTGTTGCTCTTCATTCTTTTCAAGGGTGGGCACCTCAGAACAGTTCGAGTTGATGTCATGAAAAAGAAAAAATGAGCAGGAAGGCAAACAGTTTTGAAGGCTCTCGCTTAAAGTTTTGAACCTTCATCTCTGTTGCGCTCTTGTGGTGGTCTTGGGTCGAACTTTATAAGTTTCGGCTTAAGGCGGATCTTCTTCTTCCCAAATCTTATTTTTCGTATTAAGATTTGATCAAGGGGCTTGGCTGCAACGCTCTGATTGCGTGGAACCACCCATACCGAAAGACGCAATGTGCACGATAGTGGTTCAGGATGTTTTTGTAAACCCCGTCTTGTAAAGTCTTCCAAGGCAAACAGCACACCTCCAATATGATTGCACTTCCCCTTACCCTGTGAGCCAAGCCCGGCGGGACAGGTACATGCTGCGCGTGATACATCACATTGAGGTGTGAACTCCACGACCACTCGGTAAGGCAACTTTTTCATCGATGGCAAAACACAGGCTTTTACGTACGTTTTGTCCTCATGGGTTTTGCTTTCAAGCCTTTAAACGTTCCCTTCAAAGAAAAATTGGTAAGATTTTAATTTCTTAAAATTTGTTCCCTTGACCACAATGTGACGGTACTTGCGCGTTGACACAACCAGGTAATCGTAAAGCTGAATAAAATTTAGTTCGGGAAGCTGACGTAAATCAGTGGACCATCCGAGAGCAGAGATTCGTCTTAAAGTTTCATCGTACTTGAAGTCACCGCTATTTTCCGTTGTATTCTGGTGACCCTGACCAGTATTATTGCTACTTTGCTGCTGATTCTCACCAGTCGTAGCACGTGTCGCACGAGTATCGCGTAGACTTTTAACACCAAATCTGCTTTTATTCCGCCCGTCGCTTCCGAATTAGAACGCAAAATTTCCCTTAAATCCTTCACTTTTAACTTCTGGATATCCTCTAGCTTTGAAATCTGCATATCGTTGTAAACTAGCACCATTTTAGAAGCGATTGAACCACGAAAGACTTCTCCGATCAGCTGTATTTACTGTTTTTGTATTACGCGGGTCACTGGCAGCCTCGCTATCGTGGTTGTGCGGTTACTAATCCAATATGGGCTATTTACATGAGATTGTTATGTATGCCTGAGTATGTAGGTAAATGTTGTATATATATAGAGTTAAACTTATTTTTTTCTGTTTTATGCTTGTATTTGTCATAAATTTGGTCATGAGTAAGTGAGATGTATAGTGACTAATCAATAATACACCCTGTATTTTGTTTTTGTTTTGCTAGAACTAAAAGATGGCAGACTGCCACGGGGTTTTAGTTCTCGCCTTGCTTTCTGGAAAGCGGAGGAGCTTCACAAGTTCGCTTTTCCTGCATCGGAACTCATATTTGCAGATCTGCTAGAGAGCCAAGATTACCACATCTGGGAACTTGTTGTGAGAATGTGTGAACTTGTTTTTAATAAGAGAGATGGTTGGAGCCACGAGGATGTTCATCTTTTTGAGAAACTTGACATTAGATATACCATTTTAATAGAGGAGAAAACGAGTCTTACATCCTGCGGTGACTTTCAATTAATAATTAGTATTAGCTTAAACACAAAGGTGTACTATAAGAGGGACTTTATTTGGGTCCCCCAACTTTAAAAGCCACTCAATTTGCTTTTGATTTACATACATGTGAAACAGAAAAAGTATGTCTTACTTATTTTAAGAAAATTCATTGAACTAAAAAGCAAAGCTTTTGTGATAATAATTAAGTGCGTGTAAAAATACACATGTATGTGTCATAAATATGACACACGAACAATATTTCTATTTGTAACCGCACAATAAATATTTCACAGAAGTGTTCCTTCTGTTTGCTGGTCTTTAACTGAACAAGAAAAATGTTGTGGTTTTGAAATTTAATTAGACATAATGCACAGCTAGTCCATTAATTTGATGGTGTATAAGGGTATATGCTCAATTGCAAGCTGGTTGCCTATATCTGAATGTGAAATTAAGTTACACTTCTTATTCTGTTAGATGTGTGCTAACTCCTTAGATGCAGCACAGCATTTGGTAGAGACTGTTGGAAGCTCCGCAGCATATATCAACCATTGTAACAAAGGCATTCTAGTTGGTGGATTACAGAACAAACACATTCTCTTGACAAGGCAAGAAATGGAACTCATCAAAAAGACTGTGGCTTATTTGGAAGATGATGATTACGTTTCACAAGTTGCACTCCCGGTCACGAGCCTTTTAAGGCCACGGCAAGGAGTCAAAAATGAAGGACTGCTCTATCGTAGTGAGAGTGCATCCTCCTTGAGTTGGAAAGTGGCCAACAAGTAGCAATTGTGGAAAGGTTTCTTTGTGTTGAAATTGATGAGCAGTATCAAACATTTAAGTTAATACAGATGACGGACAACCCACAAAATTTGAAAATACTGGTTATTTGATTGTCAAGAAAGAGGCTTCTCCACAGAAAATTGTTGTGCCTGTTACATGTGTATTAAGGAAGGTCATTCTTTACCCTCACCGTCATGAGCCTGATCACGAATTTGTGGTTGTGAACTTTCAACGAAAGACTTCACCACTAACCGAGTATGACGTTGTTGTACCCTTCTATCCTGAAGAAGGAGACATGGTACTCATAAATGGCACTGATCCAAAACCATGGCTTGGAAAAGTAATAACCATCTATGAAGACCGTCATATTGCTAAATTATTGTACTACATCAAGAGTGGAGAAAAAGATGATGGTGGTTTTCAGATAGACATCTATACTCCTGAACGAAATCCTCGTCTGGCCTATGATAAAGTTTCCTGGAACTCAATAATAACACTTGCAGAAGGAGAGTGGAATAATAACGCATGGGAGAGGCCAGTACATTAGATCCTGCAAAATATTAGTAACGTTTGTTTAATGTAGGACATGCGCTTTTTTATTTTTACATTCATCTGTGAGTTCCCCCAAGAGAAAAGGCAGCTGAAACTGATTATTATAAAAGAAGATGCCTATGTAGTATTGAGAAATTGGGAAAAAACCTTCCATAATGGTATGCAATGAAAAACCTTTCATGTTTCCAAATGTAAAAATATTGTACCTTCCTATGACAACATTAAATGAAATTGATGGTTTATTTATAATAATCATCAAGGTATTTAAATTTACATTCATGTTTTTAGTTTCCAGAATGTGGCCTGTTTTAAGGGTGAATAGGAGATTTAAAAACCTTTCATGGTACTTGAGAGAAAACCATTCATGTTTACAACTGATAAAATATCATGTAACTTCCATTATGACAAAATCAAAGAACATTGATGGTTTATTTATAATAAACATCTATGTATTAAAATTAACATTCATGTTTTTAGTTTCCAGAATGTGGCCTGTTTTAAGAGTGAATAGGAGACTTAAAAACCTTTCATGCTATTCACGAGAAAACTATTCATGTTTACAACTCATAAAATGTCATGTAACTTCCATTATGTCAAAATCAAATGACATTGATGGTTTATTTATAATAACCATCTATGTATTTAAATTAACAGTCATGTTGTTATTGGTCAGAATGTGGCCTGTTTCACTGTGAATGGGAGATTTAAAAACCTTTCATGGTATTTGAGAGAAAACCATTCATGTTTACAACTGAAAGGATATCATGTAACTTCCACTGTGACAAAATTAAATGACATTGATGGTTTATCAATAATAACCATCTACGTATTTAAATAACATTCATGGTTTTAATTCCCAAAATGGGAATTTGATTTTAAATACATTGATGGTTTTTTCCCAAAATGGGAAATTGTTAAAAACCATTCTGTAATTTAAAAAACACTCATGTTTTTTTGTAAAATTTCCCTGTGAGACTTGAGGGGTAGATATCATAATCATCATCATCATTATCATCATCAGGTCCGTCTACATGCATCTCCTCATGATTTTGCTCTTCTTGTTCTCCTAAATCTGGTAAATCTGGCTGTTCAACACCAGAATCATGCACATATACAGGCTGAAGATCAGTATGTTGATTGTCATTTGTAGCTGTGAAGAACAAAATACAGAGAAAGGTTTTCCAGTCATATCTGACTACACGTACACAACAAGAATTTGTTGTTGTATATCAAAATTGTTTTGGTGTGCATGTGGGTTGAGAAAAGTTTACCCAGACTTTTAGTTGTGGAAATATGCATTGACAAATCTAACCTTTTTCCCCCTTCTTGTATCCCTGCCTCTTCAGTCTGTCGTATTTGAATTTCAAACCAACATATTGGTTTCGTAACTTTCTTTGTTTTTTAACTTTTCACAGTTGGCGCACGGGCGTCTGGAAAAGAAGGAAACCGGAATCCGGAATAGGAACGGGAATGGGAACAGGAACCGGAACCGGAACCGGAACCGGAACCGGAAACGGAACAGGAACAGTAATGTGAAGGGGAACCGATACAAGAACAGGGACATCATTTACTTTAAATTATTTTAATTCTAATTCAGTTTATACAAAAAAAAATAAGAAAACTAGTCTGGTATCATGCTCCCCCCGAATCTCTTTATATTACGGCAACGAGAAGGTAGAAAAAGCCACAAGTTAAATAAGTAAAGCAACAGCTTTGCGAGTGCATCGCGCTTTTCAATTTCTTCACCGCCTATGCAAAACTACGACGTAAATGATCAAATCTTAAGTTCTCTTGAGAACGTGAACAGCAACGATAAATTTTATTGTGTCTTTCTGAGCTCGGACGTCTCCAGCTTCATTTCCCAACCTTTGAAACACTGGACAATTTGGAATTAATGAGAAATAGTTTGAATTAAGACCCGAATTCAATTTTTCAGTGGCGTTTTCGCTGGCGTTGCCGTTGTCAGATCTTAAGGTTCCTTTTGTCTCTTACAGGAAGGAGGTTATAACGTGTTAATATTATTTGTCAGACTATTGTGTAAACGAGACACCCATCGGACATGTTTATTGGGCTGCCATACACCTCAGGTTTGCTACATAGATATATTGTACTGTGCTAAATTGGGAAGTTAACCAGAGATAGATAGTCCACAGCTTAAAAAGGGTATTAACACGTGCCTCCTCAACCCTCCCCCCCCCACCCCTCCCCCCATCCCCATCCCAGCCAGCACTTCATCTACCTCAACCGAGTGCAATAGGGACCTTAATAAAAATTAAAAATGGAAACTGGAAGTGGATGTTTTCTGTCTTTCGGTCCTCTGACTCAACAAATTCGCACAGTGGAAGGTAAGAGGAAGAATTCAGATTCGTTGTGAGAGACAGAAGCGTTCCATCAAGGGACGGTCAGCGTTCTCGTTGCTTAAGTTCGCTATGTTTGACACGAAAACACAATGTGTCATAGGCTAAAGATAAAGAAAGGTTAATTAGATTAAAATTTCAGAGGTGTTTTCTTGTTTGCTTAATTATTTCCCTGGCTTTTTATTGAAATCACGATTATATCTTTTCCTTTTCACATTTCTATACACTGTTTATATTTCCCTTCCTATTCCGGTTCCTATTCCTTTTTTCCCCTTATTTTTCGTATATCTGAACAGGAATTAAATCCAGATTAACTTAAATTAAGGTAAATGTTGTCCCTGTTTTTATATAGGTTTTTCTTCCCATTCCGGTTCCTATTCCGGTTCCGGTTCCTGTTCCTATTCCCGTTCCTATTCCGGATTCCGGTTTCCCGCTTTTCCAGACGCCCTTGGCGCACTCAGCCTGAAAAACACAGGAATTTCATATTTCCGTTGAAAGTGCTGAACTTCTTTTTAAATAATTATAAAATTATTAATCTTCGGCAAAAATCGTATCCTACATTTACACTGTTGAAGCAATGAGTAAAACTTACGTCCGAAACTTGTGCGTAAGTGCCACAGATGTTGTCATCACTTCCCTCTTGTACTACTACTACTCTTCCTTCTTGTGCACTCTTCTGACCAGGGCTTCCAGTCACAAGCACTTCTCGTACAACCACTTCCTCCTCATCATCATCTTCCCTTTCCACC